TATGTCAGCTCAGTATCAATTTTGGCAGTTTTTCTTGGTTCGGGATTTACATTGTCTTGTTCAAGGGCGGGGGACATTCCTGTGGCCATAGTCCGTACATTACAGGTTGCAAAATACTTTGAAGTTGAGGGTTGTTGAGTCACACTTGTTTGCCAGATAGACCCATACTGGGAGTGCGCTGGTGTGAGCGCCGAACTTTTATCTAGATACAGATCCACTTAACTAGTTCGACGTGAACCACTCAATTCTAGCTAGGTAAAGGAATTAAGTCACTTAAGTTAAGCATCGAGAAAATAGAACAGACGTTTTAATGAAAATTAAAACAATATTTTGTTAAATGGAAGAATGCTAGCTAGCGATTAAAATAATTCGTTTTTTATCGAAGGTAAAATTAGCTAGGGCATAGAGAATCTTTTACATTGCGATAGAACACGCTGCTGCACTGTCGTTGGTTCGTACTGGTCGGCTAGGTTAGGTAGTGGAAACTCACACCTTCTCTACCGTGTTTACAATTTTTTTTGAACGAATACCACTTGGTACTAGAGGTTCGTAAAATACAGTAGATGTTTTATTAAACACCGTGTGACGTCGACAGCCTGAAACTGGTTGGCTGTTTATCTGGCTCTAACTTGGAATCGAACGCAATTAGCGGATTATCGTATCATGTTTCAAGACGGGTATATCTAGATAAAGTTCGACGTGAACCAGGCTAGCAACTTTTTGACCAGGGACTGCCTGAATTAAAGCGGGCGGTAGCTTACTAAGACGTTAATTAACATCTCCAGTTATCAGCTATGATCCCTGGCGCTGAACCAAGGGCCTTTTTATTATTATTACCGGGCCTAGGCTTATAACTACCATAGTCCGGCTTGGTTCGCGGTAAACCTACGCGTAATTTATTAGATTTATGGAGGGTCTAAAACCAGAACTTTAAAAAGCACTTGATGGTCCTGTCATTGATCAAGGGCTTCTCTCATCCGGAGTCCATCTGAGGCAGAGGAAAGGCAGTAATGCGTCTGATGGTCAGAGGTACAGTATACTCTATACAGGGGCTGCCATAAAAATGACTAATGGGACCCCAGCTCCATGTTTTGTTTTGATAGATGGCCTCTCAAGATGAAAGTACATCCGCCCTTAATAAACGGGTCGTACCTTAATAAATTCCTAAGGATATAGGTCGAATATGGTTTTCCACAATAAGTGTTTCAAAAAACCCATAAATCAGCATACGGCCATATAATGCAAAACAGATTAAAATTAAAATTATAACGGAACTGTAGAGAAAATCCGATCAGAATGACAAAATAAACTAAGCATCCACTGGAAAGAATCCCAATATCTGCAGACGGATCCGTTTCGGCCTTCCAGGCCTCATCAGTGCAGCTAGGGTACAAACCCAAACGAAACGTTCGACCAGCTTAGGTAGAGCCCAAACTAGTCCCACGACCACTAAAGATTACAGAGCCAAACCAAGGCAATATATATACACAGCCCACGTGTGAATGCAAATAGTGGAATACAAGCTATGCTGCTCGTTCAGTAGATACAGAGAATATTTTGTCATTCTTAACGCGTCCTACAAAATTCATACGAGACAGCACTAGTCCGTGAATTTGTGAACAACATCGGAGATCTAAAGATGCAATCTCTACCGTGCATCAATTGC